GAATGCTGAAAACATCACTTTTCCAAAAGCAAATTTTGCTGGAGAGAAGATGCATGCATGGTTCTTGATCTTTAAGTGGAAAGGACAACTTCTCCTCCACCCGTGACACAGTGGGACAAAGACCATCATCCTGTTGGAAGAACTTTAGACCACCTGCCTTAATCTCTCTTCTGTTTCTCTCTGCCTTCCTGTACGATGTGCCCTTTGATTGTCATGAATGAAGGCAAATATACATATCCTAGGATAACATTGCAGGATCCAATCTGGGATCCTTTGACTTCTTTTTAATCCTTCTGTACTCCTCCTTCTCTGCTGCCAGCTGTTTAAATTCTAAATCAAAAATCCCTTAAATTGCATAATAAACTGCATTTCAAATAATACTTCTAAACTCAAAGATTAGAAGGAATAAATCATGTTTCAACCTGTCTCCTATGTTTGAGAACGAGTGTACTAGACAGGACTAGGACACAAATAATTACCTTGACTTTGAGAGTTCATTTGCCAAAACCATGTACCTTGCAGCCATTGGGTCTCTTTATGCTTCTGGCCACTCCCAGTTTTAAACTTTCTGAATCCATCATCCAATGGTTAAACAGCAATGCTGGGGCGGGGGGGGGGGGGGAAGATGGCTGCCCAGATACACTTTGAGTCTGGGACCTGCTTTGGCTGGTTCAGGTATTGAAACCTGGGCATTCAGAGTTCAGTATTTTCCGTACTGAATTTGAAAAAGTAAATCTCTTTCAGAATCTTCCTATGGGATTCATCTCAAGTAACAGCTGATGCCTATCAGTCTTGTTGGTTTTAAAACAGAATCAATCAATTCATAGGGTGAGCACAACAGAACTAGCGGTTCCTGGGAACGATATGGAAGTTCCATCACCTTAAATCTCTGCTTGTGAGAAGAATGTGTGGAAACTAAGTATTGAACTATATACAAGTACCTTTAACTGCAAGATATCTAAGATAGTGGGGTTGGATCAAAAGCATGACTAGGTTTCTAAGATGGGTGGGCCCTAGGTATATGCCAGGAACCAAGATAAAACAGCTCCATTTTAAAGTATCCTGACGTTTTTCACAATTACATTATCGATGAATGTTCAGCAGTGGTATGCAGTCTACAGATGGCCTTGGGCCTTGGAGGGACATATAGGTGTAATGACATGTGAGAATGACCTTGGGAGAGGAGGACAAGAGATGCTGCTCAAGGAACAATCAGATAAGAGATGGCACAGCCCACCACTGCATAATGAGCTGAGAAAGAAAGTTAGGAAGGACCTGCCCTAATTGATCAGGCTATTAAAAGTGACTGTGGGAGATTTATACTTTCAGATTTGCAATACTCTATTTGTATAGCCTTATAATACTGTAGAATTAGCTCATCCGGTCATGTTTCCTGTCTGCATGGTTGTGGGGTGGGGGTGGGGGGGTGGGGGGGTGGGACTGACAACAATTGTGTAAGTTTGATAGGACAAATCTCTTGCCTTCTCTTTTACAGCCTGAGGAGACAAGGAGATTCCTTTCTTTGTTTGTCCATTATACAGTTGTGGGTTATGCCCTCTATTATTTCATTGTTCCCTAGGAGAGATACTGCCCACATAGCAATACAGTAGGAGATGCATAAATTGGGGGGGGGGGAATAAATCCTTGGTTTTGGAGGAATAGAAAAATAATGGATGGAACTAGAATGAACACTACATCTAATTCCCAATGACATGTTGACACTAATATACTTTATGTCTCATGAGGGAGATAAAGCAAATTTTGCTGGAGAGAAGATTCACACTTGGTTCTTGATCCATAAGTGGAATGGACAGCTTCTGCTCCATCCATGAGATGGTGGAGCAAAGGGGTCATCACACTGAAGACCTTCAGACTATCTGCCTTCAGCTCTCCTCCACTTCTTGTGTTTTTCCATGCACACCATTGTCATGGGTGTCTTTGACTTCCTTTGACCTTCCTTTCCCCTTTTGATTTAGAAGACAACTGCATTATGTTCTAAATCAAAGGTCTCCTTCTATCTCACTTTCCTCATGTCTCCCAATGCCACCCCTAGCCAGAGTCAAATATTTAAAAGTCCCAGATTTTTTCAAACATTCAAGTAACAAAAAACCACAGATCCACAGAGATTAAAACACATGGGGAAATGGATATTTCTGGGAAAGACCAGCAAAGGATAATTCTAGGACCAATAGGATATTTTTAAAAGAAAGGGGATGTTTTAAGAGGGGACCACACCAATGTACTTCCATGAGTCAGATCCATGAGCATTATGGATCTGACTCATGCGTTATGGAAGCATCTTAGATGACTTTTAAGTCTTCACACTTAAGTCTTCACACAATGCTCATTTCACTTTCTGAGGGCCACCTACTGCATGTTCTTTCTTCCACTAATCTCTGAATTTAGGGGCTCAGCAAGGCATTTGCTGAATTCCTCTTTCAGTGCTTTTTGATATTACTCCTCAGCCAAAAGAGAAGAAATAATTGAGACCGCTGACCAATTATCTAACATTCAGAGCCTCAAAGGAAAAGGGGTAAAATCATGCCTCATTTTTAGCAAGTTTTGGAAAACCAACCATGTGTTTTGAGCAATAAATTATGATTATAAAACTCTGTCTTAGCATGACTCATCAAGTCAGTGGTGAAATTCAAATTTTTTTACTACCATTTCTGTGGGTGTAGCTTGGTGGGCGTGGTGTGACTTGGTGGGCGTGGTTGGGTCGGCGTGGCAGGGGAAGGATATTGCAAAATCTTCATTCCCACCCCAGGGGTGGTATTTGCCGGTTCTCCGAACTACTCAAAATTTCCGCTACTGATTCTCCAGAACCTGTCAGAACCTGCTGGATTTCACCCCTGCATCGTTGTTTACTGTGAATTGGAAGGAACCTCATGACCATCTGGAATTCGCCCATTAGGAATAATGCCAATTGACGAGATCTATAAGCCCCCAAATGACATTTCGGTGAGCAAAGAGCAGATGAAAGTGAGATTGCCTCTAATAAGTTGGAATCTGGAGACAAAAATCACTTTTTCCTGCCTTCTCTGGGAAACCCAATGTAAAGTAAGTCAGGAAATTGTTGTAGACTCATTGGAAGACAAAGAACTCTCTTTTGTTTCCCTAATTAACTTGACAAAGTGTGTTAGACAATTATTGTCATTGTATATAGAATTTCCTGACACAATTCTATACATTAATCACTCATTTGTCAACTTGCAAAGCTCTCAAATTGCCATAAACAGGAGGGGGGGGACTGACTGAGCTGCTTGATTGCCCTAACTGAAACTACATTCCACAAATGCCTTTCTATAGATTGTGTCCTAGGTTACCGGAATCAGCAGGAGAGCTGTGGGTTTCACAGCACCCCAAAGTGGTCAATTGAAGAATGTGATTTATGACATGCCCAGGGAGGATGGGGGGAGACAGGGTCATGGGGGCCCGTAAATTTATGTGAGGTCAGTTCTGACTGCATCGGAGTGATGCCGGAATGGTACTCCTAATAAATGACTGTATTTCTTTTGGAGTTTGGCTCGTGGCACATGAATTAATTAGGGCATCTTTCGGAAACTTCACATCATTGCTTCTGTGAGGTGTGTTTACACCATAGTCAGCAAAAGCCCTTGGTTCTTTTTCCAGTTCTTCTCATAGGTGCCCAAACACAGTTGAAGTGTTCCCAGACTCTCATAATCAGAGCTTAATCATAGGAACTTTAAAATCCTCACCATCTCTAACTATTTCTTTGCTCCTATCAAGTTCCAACTTTCACCGAGCCTTTTGCCGGGAAAACAGACGTCTGCCCAGAAACACTGTGGAATCTGCTTGGCTGGTTCAGACACACCACTGCAATTGTGTTCACTCTTCATTCATGTTTATTCATGGATTTGAGAAAAAAACCCAACATTTTCCATATTGCGTAAAACTCCTATATAGAATTCATTGGTTATAAGCAGGATAGTCAAACAGAACTATTGTATTGTCTAGGGCAGAGGTCTTCAAACTTGGGAGCTTTAAGACTTGTGGACTTCAACTCCCAGAATTCTGGGAGTTAAAGCCCACAAGTCTTAAAACTCCCAAGTTTGAAGACCTTTGATCCAGGGGTTAAGATGTTGGATGAGGAACAGGGAAACCCAGGTTCTAGTCCTCTCTTAATCATGGAAATTCCTTGGAGAACTTTGAAACCATTAATTCTCCCTCAGGCCAAACTACCTCACAGGATTGTTGTGACAGGAGGAGGGAGCAATAAGTAGGTCACTTTGGGTTTCTGTTACAAAAGGCACAATAACAGTGACTTAAATTATAAAATGGACCTTAGAATGTTAGTTTGTGAGCCACTCCCTAATGGCCTCTTTGGGAAATCAGCTGTTAAACTATATCACTGCTGGTTGTCTCCTCTTCTCCTTCTCCTTCTCCTTCTCCTTCTCCTTCTCTCTTCCCCTGCTTCTTCCTTCCAGATCAAGAGGGTGAATAGACTAACAATATGGGTGGGACATAGGTAACTATGTGGAACCAGGCTAAACACTTCCATTCTAAAATCAATCGTTCTGTTTTTCTCTTACTTTAAAACTTGGCCTTCAGAGTTGGTGTGCAACTTGGACTTGGAGAGATGGAAACAAAATTAGTGAAACCCAAACATTTAGTTCCCAATGAAATACTGACACTCATTACTAATGGAAGGAGAAGAGTCTGATTGCCTACAAAGGGGCTCCAAAGCTATGTAGAACATTTTATTTCAATGCACCTTCTTCAACAATCTAGGAATTCTGGGAGATGAAGTCCACAAGTCTTAAAGTTGCCAAGTTTGGAGACCCCTGCATTAGGGGCTCATCACCATATCCTGGGATGATTCATTCTGTTGCATAGGAGGTGTGCCACCTACAACTCCTTCCAACTACTTTCCCAATCCAGACACCTGACTTCTTCCTCAAGAGTTACGGTAAACACCTACAACTAAGCTTACAGAAACAGGTTGGAGGCTGGCTTTGTAAAACCAGTTACACAATTGTATCAGACTGGCTGTTTGAAGAAATTTTGAAGACCTGTCACTTCCTCTTGTGAAGACTATAAATCTTGCTACTACTAAAAAATTAAATAGTTGTAAAAGAAGAGACTATCCCTTGCCAGCCATTAAAGGAAAGAAAGGTAATATCTAACAGCTCCTTATTTTTATTTTATTTTACTCTGCATATTGGCACTAAGGTTTTTTTTAAGGGAAGTTAAGAAAAAGGTGAAAGTGAATCCAGTCCCTATTGTTCTTGGAGGGTGGGTTATTACATTTGTTAAATGTCATTTCTGTTTAACAGAGAACACTTTCCTTGATTATCTACATGTCCTTTGCTTAGTTTAAGTTCTTTCTGTATATCTAGCAATTATTAAAGGGTGGGAGGGAGAGAGAGAGAGAGAGTTTGGTCTAGTGGTTAAGGCACCAGACTAGGAATCAGAAATCATGAATTCTAGTTCTGCCTTAGCCATAAAAACCAGCTGGGGGATTTTGGGCTGGTTATTTTCTCTCAGCCTAACTCACCACACAGAGTTATTTTTGTGAGGAAAATAGAAGAAGGAAGGAGTATTACATATGTTCATCCCCTTGAGTTGTTTATAAAAATAATAATGGTAGGATATTAAATAAATGTATAAATTACATTCAGAAGCTAGAGACTAAAATAGAGAGGTTGGCTGGCTGGCAGGATAAACAACTGAGCTTTTAAAAATGGCAATAAATCTCATTTCGTACAATGGGACAAAATTCTGGAAAGATAAAAACCATTTTTAAAGTTTGCAAAGTTACAGAATATCAGAGTTGGAATGGACCTTGGACATCTTCTAATCCACTTCTAATCCACTCCAGAATTCCTGGAGTTGAAGTCCACAAGTCTTAAAGATGCCAAGTTTGAAGACCTCTGCTATACAATGACAGACAAATGGCTGTTCAATCCTTGCCCACAACTTCTGGAGGCAAGCTGTTCCACTAATTAAATTGTTCTCACTGACAGGAAATTCTTCCTTAATTATAGGTTGGATCTCTCTTTGATAAGCTTCATCCATTATTTGCCCTCAGGTGCTTTGGAGAATAGGCCAATCCCCTCTTCTCTTGACAGCTCCTCAGGAATAGAAGAGAAGAGAAGAGAAGAGAAGAGAAGAGAAGAGAAGAATTGGTGGGGACCTTGGAGGATTAGGGTTAGGGTTAACCCTAACCCTAACCCTAACCCAACCCCCTGTTCAGGCAGGAAACCCTACACCACTTCAGACAAATGGTTATCCAATATCTTACAAACTTCCAGTGTTGGAGCATTCACAACTTCTGGAGGCAAATTGTTCCACTGATTAAGTCTAACTGTCAGGAAATTGCTCCTTAGTTCTAAGTTGCTTCTCTCCTTGATTAGTTTCCACCAATTGCTTCTTTGTCCTACCCTCAGGTGCTTTGGAGAATAGCTTGACTCCCTCTTCTTTGTGGTAGCCCCTGAGATATTGGAACACTGTTATTATGTCTCCGCTAGCCCTTCTTTTCATTAAACTAGACATACCCAGTTTCTGCAACTGTTCTTCATATGTTTTAGCCTGCAGTCCCCTAATCATCTTTGTTGCTCTATGAAGTGGAGTGGAGTGGAGTAGAGTGGAGTAGGAGAACTTCTAGTCCAGCCCCCTGCTCAAGCAGGAAAACCTATACCATCTAAGACAAGTGACTGACCAGTCTCTTCTTTAAAAACTCCAGTGTTGGAGCGCCCATAATTTCTGGAGGCAAGCTGTTCACTGATTAATCTGTTTCCAAAGTAACAAGGGGAAAAGCATAGCTTGGGTCCAAAATAAGAAGAAGGTATGTGATTAGGCAAACACCTCCCTAATTCACATGCGTATAGATCATACCACATATTTGAGAGGATTTAAATGAGATCATGTGAGAGGAGATTGGGCTTGCCACTGTGAGCTTCCATAGATTCCCTCAAGATCTGGTTATTCCAGCAGCCCTGGGGACCCAGGGGACAGGTGAACTAGTGAGGTGCCTCCTTTATTTTTAATATCTTCTTGTCTATTATTCTATGTCTTAGTTTGGTTTTTCTACTGTTTAATGTATTTATTCACTGTGGGGTCCCTGTTGCTTTCTAAGCGTGATTGTTTTCTTTCAGATGTTTCATTACCCAACTAGGAAACATCATCAGTGCTAGAAAGAAGTGGGGTTTGCATTCTGTTTGTCAGTGTTGGTGGGAGTGTTATTAACTGTTATTGATAATTATTAATATATGATTATAATTAATTATTCATATAATAATTAATTTTTAACAGTTAACTGCTTTTAGTTCTTTTTTACACACCCAGAATCACTTGTTTGTGAGATAGGCAGCTATATAAATTGGTTTAACAAATAAATAAATCGTATTTGAGACAATTTAACCCTAGAGAAGAGGCAAGGTGACTCAGGGGCGTAATGACACTGGAGATGATCTTAGTTCTGGTGGTTTGAACCCTAGCACTGCGTGGCAGAGTGAACTTGCTTCAGTTTCTGTCCACCTAATAGTTTGAAAGCATATTCTATGTAGGTAAATAAATAGGTACCACTTCAGTGAGAGAGAGTTGGTGCTCTGTGCAGTCAGTCAGTTTCCTGACAGCTCTGAACCTTCCTGATTCGGGTGCCCACCCAAGGGGGCCTTGGGTGACATTGCAGGAAGTCTTTTTCTCTGGTGCAAAGCCAGTTCGCCCTCCTGTGGCACATCTTGGGAAGCACACCAGCATATCCTTGCCAGGGCTGGTGCCTTAGCAAGCCAAACTACTACTGTTTAATAGCATTGTGGGTCTCCTGGGTACTGTAAATAATAATAATAATAATAATAATAATAATAATAATAATAATAATAATAATAATAATAATAATAATAATAATAATAATAGAATTGCTGCTCAACACTGTTTGTATATATAGCCAAGATATTGCAATGGAGTTTGGATTGGACAAATGTGCCACACTCACTATCAAACAGGGAAAAATAGTGAAAACTGAAGGAATCAAGATGCCCCATGAAAATAATATTAAGAGACTGGATGAAGATGATTACTACAAATACCTGGGTATCTTTCAAGCTGATACCCTGAGAGCATATGCACCAAAGACAAATTCCTTGTGTGTCCAATCACACTTGACCAATGAAGAATTCTATTCTATTCTATTCTATTCTATTCTATTCTATTCTATTCTATTCTATTCTATTCTATTCTATTCTATTCTATTCTATTGAGACAACAATTTCTTCAGCCATAATGGGAAATGCCAGCTAGAGTTTGACACAGAGAACAAGAGTGGGAAAGAAAAGCAGTGAAGAGAAAGCCCATACTGGGCTGCCATTTCTTCTAGGTTCAGATATATGCTTGCAAATTTCCACCATCTTTATCTAGCAATAAGACCCGTTAAAAATCAGTGGGATGTTCCTCTAGGTAGTTGTTGATAGAATTGCATTTCATAAAGCACTTGTGCAATTGTACTGGATACAATTGGTATTGGGAGGTATTATTTCTACTTTGCTTTGCTCTAATATTGCTGGCTGTACAGCTGACAATTTGTTCAGTTTTGGAATTTTGCTCCTCGAGGACAAATAATGTTAGGCCTTCTTCAAGAAGCCTACAGAAATGTTTGTTAGGCAGCCTAGAGTGCCTGCTGAGGAAAGCATGTGTGGATGGGAAAATACTAAGGTTAGGACAGAGTTCCTCAACCTTTTCAGTTGTGGATCTCCGGGTGTGTGTGTAGAGGGGAACAATCCATGTGTGCGGCAGGCACACATGCATGCTGCTCTTGTGAGTGGGGATAGGTGCACGCTCACACACTCACCTGCCACCTCCACGGCCCGGTTCCAAAAGGCTCAAGGCCTGGTAGTGGGTTAGGGGAATGTAGCTGTTCTAAACTATATTTCTGAGGCTAGCCTTTGTGTGAAAGAAAATGGGAAATCCCATGGTGATTAGAAAACCTGAATTACTGGGTTAAGAGGAGAAGCTGAAAGTGTGCACTTTATCTTTTCAGTTGTACCTGACTTTTTATAACATTATTTCTCAACCTTGGCGACTTTAAGATGTGTGGCCTTTAACTCCCAAAATTCCTGCATTTGAAGTCCATACAACTTAAAGTTGCTAAGATTGAGAAACACTGATTTATAGCCTTTTATAGATTAGGTGTTACCATTTTTTTCTGATACTTTACAATTTTGCTTTTTGCCATTCTTAGCATAACTGGTTTTTCTCAGGAATTTTATTGCACAACATTCCCAAAAGAGGGCACACTTACCTTCGTAATCATAGGTTTCAGTGACTTTTCTGGCTTGACATGGTCGGTGGATTTAAAACAAGATTGGAGCAGTAAAAATGTTGATTTGGGGTAATTTTACATTGTTATTTATTTCAGTTATATCTTAACCATAATTTACAAGATAGGGCTTAGTACACACAGTTCCAGAATAGGATTCTGGAATAAGTTAGAAAGTTAGAACGCAGATAATATATAACAACACTGTATTGGGAACCCTGGAGAAGATCTACTAGCAATTCTGTGTAAAATTGTCCATTTGCTGAGCAAGGGGATCAGTAATCAAGAGTTCTAAGTGGTTCTTCTATAACCAGGGCCGGATTTAGATGAAAAGAGGCCCTAGGCTATTCCACTTATGAGGCCCTTTCACCTATAGTGAAAGTGTAATTTTAATTTTGCTAACAATTTGAATGTAGGCCCCTCTTGATCTTGAGGCCCTAGGCTGAAGCCTAGTTAGCCTATAGGAAAATCCGGCCCTGTCTATAACGTTGGAGATACATCATGGAGAAGGGGAAAGTTGACTAAGTCATTCCCTACTCACCATTGGTGTCCTCTGCAAAAAAGGAGCCCCACCATCCCAATAAAATAATCATGAATTGGCATAAGATGGTCTTATATAGTATTGGAATAATCTTACATTGGTTGTAACTTTTTCCAGGTCCACCGACTCATCCGACTGTTGCAATGCCTTGTCTGCTATGTCCGCCTCTCTTGTGCTGCCTCCTCCTCCTCCTTCCCTTTCCATTAGCCTCCAGTTCTGCTTCTAAAGGAGACACAGTGGTCAGAACCAGCAGTGGCCCCATTAAGGGCAAGCAGTTCCTGGCTGGCCTTGGGTCTGTGACAGCCTATCTAGGCATTCCTTATGCTAAGCCTCCCCTGGGGAAGTTGCGTTTCCAGAAACCTCTTCCACATCCGCCATGGAAGCAAACACTGGAGGCCACCAGTTTTGGCAATTCCTGTCCTCAATTTATTTTCCGGGATGTCCCTGAAGCAGATATATGGTCTCCTAAAACACCACTGTCAGAAGATTGCCTTTCCCTCAACATCTGGGTGCCACACCCACAACCTTCTTCACCAGTCCCTGTTTTGGTCTGGATACACGGAGGGAGTTATGCATTCGGCACATCTTCTGTGGAGGTGTTCAATGGGGCATCCTTGGCTGCCACTGAGAACGTCATTGTGGTCACCATCAATTATCGCTTGGGAGCCCTGGGCTTTCTGTACTTGCCACCAGCTGCTCCAGGGAACCTTGGCTTATGGGACCAACAGCTGGCCCTGAAGTGGGTAAAAGAGAATGCAGCTGCCTTTGGGGGAGATCCTTCTCGGGTGACCATTTTGGGCCACAGTGCTGGAGGATCTTGTGCGAATCTCCAACTTCTTGCACCAAAAAGCCAGGACCTTTTTGCCCGAGTGGTGATCCAGAGCGGAACAGCCAATGCCTATTGGGCTTTGAGGTCTCCTGAGGAAGCCAAACGGTTATCTCTGGAATTTGTTCATCTGCTAGGTTGCTCCGAGGACAATACTATCAGCATAGAGCATTGTCTGCAAACAAAAAATGTTTCTGAACTTATTCGGCATGAAATAGCTATGTCCTTCAAAGGCCTCCTTGCGGATTTTCCCTTCAGGCCAATCATAGATGGGGAGTTTTTGCTTGGTGATCCAGAAAAGCTCATGGAAGAGGGGCAATTTCAGGCCAAACCTATCCTCATAGGTGAAACCTCTGATGAAGCGGCCACATACGTCCACACTACTTTCCCTAACACCACCCACAATCTCATCAATCAGGAGCAGCTTCTGAAAGGGATACAGCTGTTGGCGCCAAATGCAACTGAAGATTTTATTCGGACTATTGCACTGAAGTACAGTGAAGGAAATCACGGCCCAGCAAAATATCGCTCCGCTATGTCCCAATTCTATACAGATCGGATCTATGCATGCCCAATGAGGGAAGCTGCAGGAAATATCAGGAAAAGTGGGAGTCCTGTATATGCCTATGTATTCGCACATCGCCCTTCATGGTCAGTTTGGCCTGAATGGATTGGGGCATCTCATGGTGCTGATGTTCCTTTTGTTTTTGGAACCCTTGAATCAACGCTGCCTTTCAATCGAACATACACAGAGGCTGAAGCCAGGCTGAGCCGTAAGATGATGCACTACTGGGCAGAGTTTGCCAGAACTGGGTAAGTGGTTCACTTTATTTCTATAAATTGGTATTTTAAATCCAAAAAAAGCCCCCCCTCCTTCCCACATTCAACAAATACACTTTATATCTAAATCAATGAAGCCATAAAGTAATGCACGCTATTCCTTTGTGTATGTTTACAGGTTGTGTTAATACAAGTAGTTCATGATTTACGACCACTGTTGGGACTAGAATTTCTGTTGCTAAGCAAGACAGTTGTTAAGTGAATCATAAGTGCAAGGACCAGTTGTAAGTCACTTTTTTCAGTCCCATTGTAACCTTGAATGGATGGTAATGAATAGTTGTAAGTCAAGGACTACCTGTACTGGAAATAGCCCTGAAATTTTTAAGGATTCTTAATAATGTCACTTATAAATCATTGTTCTTTTATGAGTTCAGTGGTATCACACATATTCCAGGGTACATATTTCTCCAAGTGGAATAAAGAAGGCAAAAGGGAGATAAGAAACAGAGCATTACTCTACTATTAAGAGAACGAGCAAAGGCTTGCAAGGGAGTAAGTAGTGAAGGGGAAACTCACAAGATGGTGGGTGCCCAGGGTGTGAGGAATGGGGGAATGGATTGAAATCCAAGAGTCTATGAGGAGCTGACCTGGTTCTGCCAGTCCAACCTCCTGCTCAAGCAGGAGACCCTATTCCACTCTGGACAAGTGGCTGTCCAATCTCTTCTTAAAAATCTCCAGTGATGAAGCAGTCATATCTTCTGAAGACAAAGCTGTTCCTCTGATCAATTGTTCTCACTGTCAGGAAATTTCTCCTTATTTCTAGGTTGTTTGTCCTCTTGATTAGTTTCCATCAATGTCCTTTTCTTCCTCCTTAGGAATCCCACTGGGTCAGCAGCCAGCAAGTATAAGTGGCCACTCTATAATGCCGCAGAGCAGAATTTCTTCCTTCTTAATACTGAGCCATCCCAGGAAAGGGTGAAAGAACACTGTGATTTTTTAAAGAGCCTTTTTTCAAAGGCTGAAGAGACACGTAAGTTCAGCTATTAGTTCTGCCTTTGGAAGGAAGTAGTGGTTGATGAAAAAGATATTTTTAAAAATCATTTATATATCAAATATAGAGATTGCCCATTTCACTCATAGAGCAATCTCTAAAAATTGATTTTATTTCCAGTCTTTGCTGAAACATATTCATTTTATTTTACACTGGGCAATTTTGTAATGCTAGTGATAAATTTTGTAGTGCAAACATATTTCATGACGTCCCAAGACTTGGGTCTCTAGTAATGTCTTCTAAGTAAGCCTTAGTTGCTCACATAAAGATAACAACAACAACAACAACAAATCTCAAAACATCTGGATCACCTCTTGACCACCATCGTCATTGATAAAATCCCTCTCAGTCAATTGCAAAAGGCAATTTATTTGGAATAGCTTACATCCTGCAATGATAACTTTAATACCATCAAAAAATATCTGCCCATCCCAGCTTTTTTGGAAGGAAAGAGTAGGTGGACAAAAAAATGTCAAATCCAGTCTAAACATTTGGCTGACCATGTGACGAACAATAATGTTTTGATATATATTTAATAAATATATATTATGCCATGAATCATGGAATCCTCAGAATCCTACTTCTAGATTCAGATTCTTAAATGATAAGATGTACACCTTATCTTGATATTTCATTTTTCTTTGTTCTGCAGAGCAGTCCGAAAGTGATTCTGTTTCATCGGAATAGGAAGAAGACAGGAGGTAGGAATTCAGTACTTGGTTGTAGTAACAGCCTTCAAATGGGATCAAGTTGGATGATTTCAGAAGGGGACTAGACTTCTTTCTAAATTGTAGTTTCACACTGGCATTCCAAACAATTTTTAAGAAGCACTTTTGTGGTTCAGCCTCGTTGTGTGAAATGGAAACTCTCCAAGCTGTTGCCAATGGCCTTTGTGGAAGAGGAACCTGGAGAAACCTCTAGATCTCAGCATAAACAAATAAACAAATACAGATCTTGGGCATGAGGAAGGAAGGAATGAGTCACGAAGAGTAACTTACAGAGAAGAATATGCTGTGCTGAGAAAGAGAAAGCATGAGAATGAAACTCAGCTTGTGGGGGAAATCAGTTTTCATATGAATGAGACTATTTAATAGACAAATGGAGACACTGGGAATGTGTCCTTGTAGCCCAGTGATAAATATTATCAGAACATTCCCATAGGCACCCCTGAATCTCAAGATGCAAATATTTTTTCTAACGAAGACCATTGTCCTCTCTAGGTAACAGAAGGGCAGGAAGTAACTTGAGATCAGTTAGGTAGGTTATTAATTACCAATGGATATGCATGGATATGGGACGCAGTGGCTCAGTGGTTAAGACACTGAGCTTGTCGATTGAAAGGTCAGCAGTTCAGCGGTTCGAATCTTTAGTGCCACGTAGTGGGGTGAGCTCCCGTTACTTGTCCCAGCTTCTGCCAACCTAGCAGTTCGAAAGCATGTAAAAAATGCAAGTAGAAAAATTGGTGGGAAGATAACAACATTCCGTGCGCCTTTGGTATTGAGTCATGCCGGCCACATGACCACGGAGACGTCTTCAGACAGCATTGGCTCTTCAGCTATGAAACAGAGATGAGCATTGCCTCCTAGAGTTGGGAATGACTAGCACATATGTGTGAGGGGAACCTTTACCTTTACCTTATGCATGCATATAAATCCCCCTCCATTTTGAAATGTATAAATATGAGTGAATCTGTCAGGTCTGCCATTGTAATGGCTTCAGCCTACTTCACTGGCATCCTGCCATAAAATGCAGTAAGGGGGAGAATGGGGACGTAGGGAAGGGGGATGGCAGGATGACAGAAACCAGAGGTGTCAATCTGGAACAACAAAATGAGCATGAAAATGGAATACGAAACTCCACCAAAGAGGCACCAAATCTTAAAGCTGTTACCAAAACTCCTAATATTATTGGATTCTTAAAACTGGTCAAGATGGGAGGACCTGGGAGAAGAGGAAAAGGCAGGCTTTGCACAGGAATACTCAGATCCAGCTTTTCTTGAGCTGTAACCACTTGACTTTAGTAAAAGCATCCCTTTTGCTACAAATGGATTCGAGGGTCTTTCTTTCCTAAACATCCAAGCTGGGACACGCCTGACAACATCCTTTTCTCTGCAAGAGTTCCTCCCACTGTTTTCTCAAGGGAATTTCTCCAGTGCACACAAACAAAAACAATAAATATTGCAGCAAGCCTTGATTACTTTTTTTTGTGCCTTTCATTTTGATTCCACAAACCCCTCCATGTTTAGTATAAGGGGAATACAGAGCATCTTAGGTGGACCTTTAAGGTTAAGATTAAGGCACCAGGCTAGACATCAGGAGACTGTGAGTTCTAATCCTACCTAAACCATGAAAGCCAGAAAGATAGAATTAGAACTCACAATCTGAGAACATTTAGTCTGGTGCCCTAATCTCAAAAACCCATCTAAGGTGCTCTGTTTTCCCCTTATAATAAATAGGCAGATTTTAGACTAGTCACTCTCTCTCAGCCCAACTCACCTCACAGGGTTGTTGTTGTTGGGAAAATAGGAGGAGGAAGGAGGGTGGGTTATGTTCTCCACCTTGGGTTATTTGTAAAAATAATAAAGGTGAGATACATATAATAAACAAAAATAAATAAAATTATCTTACTATAGAGAAGATCATCCTGGAATCTCTGCTTTGCCTGTGTCTTGAACTGGCCTACTATGAAGGGCTGCTACATAGGTTGAACCTCTTTGAAAATGGCATCCATATCTCAAAGGCACCATTTTCAAACTAGCTACAGTTTTGTTGGCTTCAGAATAACGGTTGTGTGTTTATTTCTCTCAGGAATCAATCAAGACTTCTCTTTAAAGCCTGGGCAAATGATGACAAGCTGCACCAGAGAACCTTCCAGAAGCATCCATTGTCCTTTCAGAGACTGACTGGTGGGACCTTGGAAGACAAATAAAGAGACAACTAAACCCCACATCACTTTTGCTGTTAAAATTATAAATTGCTAGGTGTAATTTGTTATATCTTGATTTGAGAGAGGCTTTTAATCAATTCTGCTCCCTCAAAAAAGAACCTCTTAATAAATACTGTTTGAATTCTTAGGATAAAAATCCTTTTATTTTCACAATGAAGGGAAATTGTAATAAGGATATAATAAATAATAGTAGAATATATTATACTGGAATACTATAATTAATAGAAACTTGTGATTCTGTAAACATTTGTTTCCTGCAGCTCATATATGTTTTATGTTTATGTTTGTTTATGTTTTATTAATTTGTATACCGCCGTTCTCCCGAAGGACTCAGGGCGGTGAACAGCCAAAATTAAAATACATACAGTAGAAAAATTAAAATAAATTAAAACAGAATTAAATCAGTTTGGCTTCCCTAAATTTTTTTAAAACCCTTTACCCATAAAATAGCCCATTAAAATTTTAAGCCAGCCCGGCTTGCTGGAATAAGAAGGTCTTCAACGCTTGGCGGAAAGTACGGAGGTCCGGGATCAGTCGTATTCCTGGGGGTAGCTTGTTCCAGCGGGCGGGTGCCCCCACAGAGAAGGCTCTCCCCCTGGGGCTCGTCAGTCGACATTGCTTGACCGACGGCACCCTGAGGAGACCCTCTCTGTGGGAGCGGATTGGCCAGTGGGAGGTTATCGGTGGCAGAAGGTGGTCTCGAATCCAGGCCCTAAGCCATGGAGCGCTTTAAAGATGAGAACCAATACCTTGAAGCACACCCGGAAGACCACCGGGAGCCAGTGCAGCTTGCGCAGGAGAGGTGTTACATGGGAGTGCCATGTCACCCCCATAATTACCCGTGCGGCCATATTCTGGATCAGCTGGAGCCTCCGGGTGCTCCTCAAGGGGAGCCCCATGTAGAGAGTGTTGCAGTAGTCCAGGCGAGAGGTGACGAGGGCGTGAGTGACCGTGCATAAGGAGTCCTGATCCAAAAAGGGATGCAACTGGTGTATCAGGCGAACCTGATAAAAAGTCCCCCTGGCCACGGCCGTCATATGCTCTTCTAAAGACAGCCGTGCATCCAGGAGGACCCTCAAGTTACGAGCCTTCTCCGTGGGGGCCAATGACTCACCCCCAATAGCCAACGATGGCACCAGCTGGCTATATCGAGATGCCGGCAGCCACAGCCACTCGGTTTTGGAGGGGTTGAGTCGGAGTCTGTTCCTCCCCATCCAGACCCACACGGCCTCCAGGCACCGGGACATCACTTCAAGGGCATCGTTGGGGTGGTCTGGGGTGGAGATGTACAGCTGAGTATCATCAACGTACAGATAGCACCGCACCCCAAATCCACAGATGATCTCACCCAGCGGCTTCACATAAAAGTTGAACAGGAGAGGCGAGAGGACCGACCCTTGCGGCACCCCACAAACAAGGTGCCTCAAGGTCGACCTCTGCCCCCCAGCCAACACGGACTGTGATCGGTCGGAGAGATAGGAGAACCACCGTAAAACGGTGGCTCCCACTCCAATCCCTCCAGCCGGCGCAGCATGATACCATGGTCAATGATATCAAAAGCCGCTGAGAAATCTAATAGGACCAGAACAGAGGAACATCCCCTGTCCCGAGCCCTCCAGAGATCATCAACCAACGTGACCAATGCCATTTCCATGCTGTACCCAGGCCTGAAGCCGGACTGGAACGGATCCAGATAGACAGTTTCATCCAGGTACTATGGGAGCTGTCACGCAACCACACTCTCAACAACCTTTGCCACAAAACGAAGTTTGGAGACAGGACAGTAATTTGCCAAAACAGCCAGATCCAGAGAAGGCTTCTTGAGGAGGGGCCTCACCACCGCCTCTTTCAAAGCGGGAGGTAAGAAACCCTCACTCGGAGAAGCGTTTATAATCCTCTGGAGCCAGCCTTGTGTAACCTCCCGGGTAGCCAGCACCAGCCAGGAGGGACACGGGTCCAATAAACATGTGGTTGCGTTCAACCTCCCCAGCATCCTGTCCACGTCCTCGGGAGTCACAGGATCAAACTCCTCCCAGATAACATTCTCAAGACCCGCCACGGACACCTCGCCTGAACCCACCCAGTCAGAGTATATGCTACATTATGCCTTTGTATTTGTATTTCCTGTAACTAACTTCCTGTAACGTATGCTGTATTAGGCTTCTGTAAAGTATCTAGAACTTGTGAAACATATGTTCCTACCATCAATCTGAATCCACATCAATCTTATTCCTGTTTTTCTCCTGCCATCCAATGTTTGGAATGATTTACCCAGCTTTGTACTTTTGTGCAAAATTAAACACTGATTCTTTCTCACAAGCCTCCACTTAAGTTCTTCTTTTGGCTCACTGTTGGCTTAAGCACTTAGCCAGACCTTACAACAACAATTTAAGAACTTGATGCAATATGGAAAAACAAATAAAGGAAACAGGAATTCTGTCCTGCCCTTAGGACTAATGCCAACCCACAAAGCTTCATACCTTTTAATTTCTTTGGGGAAATAGCTGCACTGTTTGAAGTACTTGTGAAAAAGTGGGTGTTCATAGAATCAATTTCCCTGTCAAATTTTGCTATAACCTAATGACTCACATATCTTTTTCATAGAGCTGAGCTCCTTAAATCTAATAAATGGGCAGGTTTGATATTCTAGGTATTGCAATCAAAATTATTTTAATATATCCTGATATGGAGAAACCAGTTTAGGAAGGATGCTTTAATTAAGGCATGAGCCATTCAATTAGAGATGTTTTCTCATGTGCTGTAAAAACACCCATGTGTCTTGGTTTGGAAAGGTAGGGTTAGGGTTAGGGTTAGCAGAAATTCATAGCATTAAGAGTTGGGCTTTTCAGAGTTTTCCCCTTAACAAGGATTTACTGAAACCACCTCCATTACTTTCCCATATCCCAAACTCCCAATGTTTCTCTTGAAAGTTTTCAGAGAAGACCCATCTCTACTCTTTGCTTTCAATCTGGATTCCATTGATGATACTGTCAAATACAATAAAAGACACACTTGTTAGAATGGCCCAAGGAGCAGGCTGAGCATACTGTTACAAGAGGACAGAAAAGCCACACATAGCAATGTTTAAAAAGACAGAAATGACTACATGAATGATTTTCAGGAGGATTGGATAAGAAGGATAGGCCTAAAAAATAAAAATCTGCCTTTTAACAAAAGGAAAGAATGGCATACAAAGTTAAGGAAGAGAATAGACAATTGAATAAAGTAACAGCCAGAGGAAGAAATATGAATATATCTATTGAGAGAGAGAAGGAAGAAATGGATGATGAAAGACTAAATCAGGTTATCATAATTTATTCACAAGTGATAGCGCCATCCCCATTCAGAAACAAAGTTTGATTAGAATATCTATTAGATGGTTGATACATCTCCCAATCATTTTACAGCAGTGGCAGAAGACTCTACTATCTACATAGGGAAATCCCTAAACTAAATTGCTTGTGACTTTTTAAATTAAAAAATAGACTATATCACTCACAATAAATGCTTTCTTCTGAAGAAGCATTACATTACTTAGACTGTACCCTCAGGAAGGTTTATGCCTTAGACTAAAATGTGTTAATCTCCAAGGATTCTTTCTGATTTTTGCCTACCATAGATTAACATAAAATGAAAAGCACAAGCAAAAGAGAGGCAAATAGGATCAAGGAGATAATCAATAAAGCACACAGAGATTTCCACAGAAAAGGTCAAAAGCCCAAGATGGTGGCCATAATAGTGTAACACACATAACAAACTGATCTTTAATCATACTTAGGTGACTACCATCTTGATTTAAAAAAAAAAAAAAATTCCCTGCAGACACCCTTGTTTAAAATGAAGAAAGACAAAGTGGGCTCACTGGAAGATGTAAGAGGGGAATGAAGCATGAAGACCTTTTGAAGTGTGAGGGAAAAGACGGAATGAAATCAAGGTTCACGTTAAGAGAATGTTTTATGATGGCTGCAAATGTTTCTGAAGTAATACAAGGAATAATCTAAGGAATAGTCTCTCCCCATAGTCTCACTTTTATCTACACAGCGATTGTCATCCCTTATTCACAGAGATGTCTTTGGTCAACTACCATTGACAGAGTTTCAGGAGGATATGAAAGAAGAGTTATATGCCCATATAAAGGGGTGTGTGTGTGACAGAGATCTTTAAACAGGTTAGACCAAAATTTTAATTTTGGCAACTTTAGATGTTTGGACTTCAACTCCCAGAATTCCCTGCATATTGGTTGGGGAATTCTGGGAGTTGACATCCAGACATCTTAAAATTGCCAAGATTGAGAAACCCAGGGTTAGACCAAGATAGTACAATATTTGTACTGGAGATTGAAAAGAAGGTCCAGGTCTGTAGGCTGTGTTATGTTACATTATGTTGTGTTGTGCCATGCTATGCTATGCTATATTAGTCTGTAGATTATACTCCACTCCACTCCATACCACCCACCACACCACATACCACACCACACCACACCATACCACACATCTCACCACACCACACCTACCACACACACACCTCACCACACTCACACCTCACACCATACATACCACGCCACGCACACGTGCACACGTGCACACCATACACCACACATTACACAAACCACACTCACAACTAAATCTCACCATACACCAGACCAGACCAGACCAGACCTGACCAGACCACACCACACCACACCACACCACACCACACCATTCTATACTGAATTAATCTGTAGACTCTATTATAAAGGATTAGGAGCCATGGTGGCACAGTGGTTAGAATGCAGTACTGCAGGCTAATTCTGCTGACTGCTGGCTGTGAGCAGTTCAGCAGTTTGAGTCTCACTGGCTTAAGGTTGATTCAGCCTTCCATTCTTCTGAGGTGGGTAAAATGAGGACCCAGGTTGTTTGGGGGCAATAGGCTGATTCTGTAAACCACTTAGAGTGGGCTGTAAAAGACTGTGAAATGGAATATAAGTCTAAGTGCTATTGCTATTAGAGGTAAATATCCTTAAGACTACCTTGTTCCTTACCTGGTATCCTTTCAAGGTTAATATCTTTGGAGGGCATTAAGTCAAGAAAGGCACCTTTAACATAATATTTCAAAAAGTAATAATTGTTAATGCAGTAATTACAGAAAGAATTCTGAATGTGTAGTTTATGGTTCACAGCAGGGGTGAAATCCAGCAGGTTCTGACAGGTATTGGAGAACCGGTAGCAGGAATTTTGAGTAGTTCAGAGAACCGGCAAATATTGCCTTTGGCTGGCCCCAGAGTGGGGTGGGAATGGAAATTTTGCAATATCCTTGCCCTGCCACGCCAACCAAGCCACGCCCACTGAGCCACGCCCACAGAACCGGTAGTAAAAAAATTTGAATTTCACCACTGGTTCACAGTGCTATTGAGATAGATATT